AAGTCTCGAGAATTTTTTTTTCAGGAGGGTCTCTCTTGAGCTTCCTCAAGTGAGAGGTCCTTTCAACAATGCCTTACCTGCCACAGATAGTTACATATTCAGCAGAGTTAGTTTGATTCTGGGTGGAGCGGTATTGCAGTGGTTCGCAAAACTGCACCGCCATGAGCGCAGCGACCTGGGTTTGATTCCTGGCCGCGGATAACGGCGGTGGCAGGCGATTTCTGAAAAGGTTCTGGTCTGCCTTCACCAACACTGCACTGACTAGAGTGGTGAAGTTTGGTAAAACAATTCCAATGATTGGCACAGCGGTGGCAAGATGTTAACTACCTCGCCTGGTATACAGGAAGTTGTGGGTTCGATCCCGACCCTGACGCCTGCTGCTGTATGTTTCGAGTTTTTGCAGGTCTCTCTCTCCCCCCGTGGTCGCGTGGATTTGTCTCCGGGTCTTCCGGTTTTGCCCTCCACATTTCGAAACGTGCGTTTTAGAGTATTTGGCTGCTATGCATTTCCACGTGATAAGCCACTTCGTTGAGCTGTCATTTGTGGCCAGGTTGCTTCTGAAAAATAACTATATAGCTCAGCGGGCCTTACTTGGTGAAATAGAAAAAAAATGTTCGTTTAGTTTTTTGAGGAGGCCTTCATCTGGTATTAAATGAATAAAGGACAGTTTTTCTTGCCCTTGGCGGCGTCTCGTTGCCGTTGGTTATTTGGACGGGGGTTTGCGCGCGATCACCGCGACGATCCTCGTATATTTTTGCCGTGATGTGCCATCACAATGCTATCGGTGATCACTTTGACGGCCGTCTCGGTCATCCTCGCGTCTTGAGTCTCGGCGGCGATCCCGTTGTGCCAAACTAGCGACTGTTGATGGTAATCGGCGAAAGGTCACGAGTGACGACGGCCGTGACGATTGCCGACCGCTCGCGCCGTACGCGCTTGCATGTGCATCGAGCGTCAACATTGCGGGAGGGGGCAAACAGCAACAGCAGCAGCAGATGTGTCAGTTTGGACTGTGCTTTTGGTGGAATGTAAATACGAGCAGCCTTGTGTTTTTAAGGCTTTTTCTGGACAGTGTCGCAGCAGGCTGATGGCACCAGGCGAATAGCCGCGCTCGTTTAATCGCTCGTGATTTATCGCCGCATGCCGACCGTGAATACCTCCAGACACCCCACGCTGGCTGCTGCGCATGTTGCAAATAAATAAGTAGGCAGAGGCGCAGCCATGCAATTGCTTGCTCATCCCACCGCTGGCTGAAGGGGCCTCCACCGGAGGGAGCTCTATAGGGTATTTGGCCTCCTCTTCCACGCTTACCAGAGACGGGGGGGGGGGGGGGGTGTGGGGGAGTACCTATACTCTTAAGCTTTCACGAGCAATATTATTCATAATAAACATTTAAATGTAACCCTCCACCACCCGACACGGCCAATCAGCACCCGGCGAATTGCCCGATGATGCTGGATGTAATTACCAGCGACACGTCGTACTCAAAAACTGTAAATGTTGTGGATTCACTCTTCAACACACCGGTGGGCTAAAGTAGTGAACTATTTATCTCTTGTCAACGTGACACTTTTTTGCTGATTGGCCGTGTCGGGTGGTGGAGGGTTACGACACATTTATAAATAACGCGATCTAACCCAAAAACTTTATTATGAACCTACATTCTGCCCTACCGATAGACTGTGTAGTTGTAATATAAAGGGGCAGGGTGGGGGGGAGGTGGGGTGGAATTTTAAAAGAACTCAAATTGAAAAGGGCACTGAAGAGAAGTAACCGTCAACGCTGCTGTACAGTGGCCTTTTTCAAGCGACGGGATATATATTTTTTACACACATCGGCAAATGAGCAGGCGGCGTGGCTGCTGGGTCAGCACACGGAATGATCATCCGAGATGCTACAGAACCTCAACTGCCGAACTTTGAACCCCCCCAGACTCGAAAATCTCTTGAACCGTGGTTTTACGCTGCCTAATCACGAGGACGCCCGGGCGATCCCCAGATAGAGAAGGGGGGAGGGTGGTGGCCTTGCAAAATGTCTGGGTTTGACATTCTTAGTGAAGATATGCATTTAACAAGCGAACTCTCCGCGCCCCGCACGTCCACAATTTGCTGTCAACAAAATCAGCGTGGGGCCGGATGTGCCTTTCTTTTTGTTGCGAGCGCAAGACGAACGAGTCTCGCCCTCGCTGCACGCGCGACAATTTCACCGCCGCGGCTCCGTCATTTAACTATTTATAGCACCGTGCGAAGGTAGAGAGGGCCCCAATGTGCCGCAATTTCTGATGAACACTTTGAAATAAATTTCCGACAACTTCAAAGCCCCGAGGTGTGGTTCAATCCCCTTTACTTCTACCCAGACGTCCGTGTGTTTATGCGAGAACCTTCAGAATGTTCCGTCAAAGTGTAGTGCGTTTTTGCTCGTGTACAGCGCTGTTGACGCAGCGTCGGACAATAATAAAAACCTTCGGCCTATCGGTTCGGCTCAAGGATGAGCGAATGCCAAAAGTGTATGGCTTCAAATTTGATTTTAAAGATTCGACTGTGACGGTCCCACCTGATGACGGAGACTTGTGTTGCCTCCGAAACGTCGTGATTTTTATTATTTTATTTTTATTAATTAGAATATCATTTTTTACCTACGTGACTTTACCGAAAAAACTAAGAGTATGAATCCTTGCAGTCACAAAAGCTTCAAATCTAGACTCCGTTACCGTTAGGGCAGAGCAGCACAGCACAGCGTCTCGCTCCGTCTCTCGCGATTGCCTTACCCAGCGTGCTTTACGGTGGGGGGTGGGACTTACCTCGCGGCCGCGCGTTTTCGCAGCGGCATCATATTCGTTCTGTCCTCGAATGCAGCCATCCAGTGGTACACATTAGAGCCTAATCTCATGCTCAAGAAGAAGAAGAATTACTATTTACAACCCTTTCGTCAATCCACTCCCGGATTATATTAATCGTGTGCAATTTTAAACAACAGCCGTATCAGACATGAGTACATTCTTAATCGGCATTAATCATTGGTTCACTGCAGCTCACAAGACCTCGGTCCCTGCGAGGCTTGCGGCGGAGTTAGTAGATGTCCATGTGGTGCTCGGCATTTGAAGGCCTGAAGACTCGGAATCATCGGTGACCTCGCCGACAGTGTGCTCAGGGAGAGGCAGTTCCATATCCGGACAGCAGAATGAATGGGTGCCTCTGTCGAGGGAGCACGTTCTAGATGAAGCCCCCCCCTCCCCACGTCGTTGTAGGTCACGGAGGTTGTGTTGACCGTGCTTTGCCACGCCGGTTGTGGGGGGCGGTGTTGGTGAAGTGTTGGGGCAGTGGCCGCCAGGATCAGTTCAGATATCGCTCACCGCTGGTGTTAACCATGGACAGGAATCCGTCGTAGGGTTCGTAGTGCAATGTGCGAACCAGGTCTTGCCACCATTCCAGCCATTATTCATATTACGTGGCGTTAAAGTGCTCTGTTTTTAACCACCGTGAAGTCATTAGTTGTCGATGCTGAGAGTAAATCACACTTACAGGAATCACAATTATTATTTTTAATCTCAATTAAGCCTAAGATGAGAGCTTAATTTGAGCTGGAACTATCTGGTTCGGCATCCGGAAAAATATATCTGCATCCCCAGAGCACCGCCTCTCGCTACGGGCTGTGGCTGCCAGTCACGTGCCCACTCCAGTTCCACCAATGAACCAAAAAATATTCGGTGAGAATTAAGCTATGCGTGGGACGGTGCTTATACAGGGTGCTTAAAAAATATTTTAACACTTATATGAGACTATCGTTTTCAAAGAACTGATTAATAATACACTAACATGATGACAAATGTGATGTTAATAGCTTCAAAAAGCCAGTCTCCACTTGTTCGCCATCGTTGTGAACACACATGGCCTGGAATCTTCTCCCAGGTGGTATTGTTGCAAATTCTCAGGAGTGTTAACATTTTATTTAAGCACCCTGTAATACCTACCCCGTTGGCTCTCCTAAGCCAGTTGGAAGCAATTCCACGTTCGTATGGCATGGATGGGTCTCGACATCAGATCCAACCAGTGATCTCTATAAATAGATGTGCGTTTCGTGGCCATTTCACTGTCGACGGCACACCCTGCCCAGCCAGCACGATGTGGACAACTGTACCTCGGGGCCATGAGATGTAATCTGTCACACGCGTGTTTGTGAAGCGGCAGCAGAAAAAAAAAGTACATTGTGACAACGGCGCGTCTTATCATTTTCCCCTTTGTCTCTGTCGTCTCTCGGTTGCTGCGGTCGCAGGACAATTATCGTCATTATTTTGGTGGGGGGGGGGGGGCGGTGGGAGTAAGCGGACTTTTGAGCCGCGATAACGGTGATTGACGACAGCGCTCCAAAGTGTTTTTGGGTTTGTGCGCCGGCTTTTGTTTGGCACGATGTCTGATGTTGCTTGCCACCATTTTGGAAGCTTTGTCAGGAACCGAATTCTGTAAGGAAAAGCTCCCCAACAGGTGGAGTGAAATGTCGGCCATCGTGTGCCGATCAACACGCGGCACATCGCGAAAATACATCGGAGAACGGTACAGCGCAACCGCAAAAACCTATGCCATAGTAATGGTGGCAAGATGTTAACTACCTCGCCTGTTATACAGGAGGATGTGGGTTCGATCCCGACCCTGACGCATGTATATTTATAGTTTACATGTTCTCTCCGTGGTCGCGTGGATTTTTCTCCAGGTTTTTCCCTCCACAGAATCAAAATCACGCGTTTAGAGTATTTGGCTGCTACTCCGTGGTTTATCAAGGCCAGAGTATCACGGTTTGGCTCCTGTTGGGCATAGCGACCACCCATACCATCGAGGCATCGCGCTGGCTCGGCATAGAGGTGCCAGCGGAAAGAAGGGGGTCTCTGTTGTGACTCCACATGCACTGGGTGGGGGGGTCCATTGTTTGTGTCGTTCTTAAAGCCATGTGCTCACACCAATGTCTCTCCCCTCCCCACCCTGGGCCTGTTGTTTCTCTACCTGCAGGTCCTTTCAGCCCTCGACATCCTGCAGCCGCCTCACCTCGACTACTTTGAAGAGATGTATCCTTTTGGGAGGTGCACGCCGGCTGGTCTAAGTGTAGTGTATGTCGACTGAAGCGCACACACACCGTTGTAGGAGGCAACGCGTTTACTAAACAGTTCACTGTACACCGGGTTCTGTTGCTCAGTGTGGCTAACTTGTTCTAGGCTGCTCACTATGTGCCTGTCTGTGAACTCTCTTGATCCCCGAACGAGCCCCGAATCCCCGAACGAGCCCCGAATCCCCGAACGCACTCCACTTTTATCCCTTGGCCCCGGCCCCCGCCCCTTGCTGTATCAAGGACGGCGCCCCCATTTCTGGCCACGTGTCCTTAACTCCTCCAATCGAGGCCGCGCTTCCGGTCACGTGTTCTTAGCTCGTCCAATCGGGGCACCCGGTGCTCCGGCTGTATTCACAGGCACTAAGTACTCTTTGGGTCTTTCGGTAGAGTCCAGTAGATGGGACGATTGCTTGTGTTGCGAATCGAAACGTCGTGATTTTTTATTACTTTTGATTATTTTTCTATCTGCGTCACTTTACCGAAAGAACCCCAAAGAGTGTGAATTCCTGCAGTCACGAAAGCTTTAAGTCACTACAGAAGTGCGTGTGTGTGTGCACGTATAATGGGGAGCGGTGGTGTAACAGTTACTGCGCTGCGCTACAAACCCGGTGACCCGGGTTCAATTCCCACTCACGGCCAACACCAGTGACAATTATCTGCACCGGTCCTGGGCTTCCCTTAGGTCGACTCAGCCTCAAATGAGTACCTGGTGCAGTGTGTAAATATCATCAATGGGGAGACAAAGGTGGTCGGTTGTGGTGCTGGCCACCCACCCCCTCGTGTGCCACCGTGCCGGTATTCATAGGTGCTCGCTAGCAGCACTTGCCCCAACAGTTTGTGAAGGCTATACGGGGAATCTTTGTCTTTGTTTGGTACCGGTCCTCCCTTAGGTCGACTCAGCCTCAAATGAGTACCTGGTGCAGTGTGTAAACATCGTCAATGGGGAGACAAAGGCGGTCGGGCGTGGTTACTGGCCAAACACCTGCGCGTGTGCCACTGTTCCGGCCTTCATAGGTGCTCGCTAACAGCACTTGCCGCAACAGTCTGTGAAGGCTATACGGGGAATCTTTGTACTTTTTGTGTGCGCGCGTCTTTGACCATTGTGGGGAGCGTCAGTATCACGGACAGCGCACTCCGCTGTGAAGTTTGGGGGTGTCTCTCTGACCACACCACAACCCCCCCGTCGTGTGCAGTTTCGGCCTAAATCAGGTCTTCACCAACAGCACTTGCCCAACATCCTGTGTGGGCTCTATACAGAGTGGGTCTTTGTCATTGTTTGACCATCGCCGGACTCAAAAGTGGGAAGGTCGGGAGTTCAAATCCCAGTAGGGGGTTTATTCGGCCCATCATCCCCCCCAGAGTCATAAAACATGGTTACTGATTTGTCCTATTTTCTATGTCTGCACAATTGCGCTGCCGCTCAAGCGAGCACTGCTTTGGAAGGAAGCTCACCGGTGGTCGTTCTTTGGATCCACTCGGCCCCGCTATAGGAATGTGGAATGGTCACGATCAGAAACGAGCCCCCAATCTGGTGATCGCCGCCCCGGGGGAGAGACGTGTTTTGGACGCGGGCGAGCGTTCGCCGAGTTTTGTACCCGGGCAGGAACTGCAGAGGATGTGCGGTGACTAAGATGGCACCAGGGGGAACTCATCCCATCGCGGACGAACGCGCACAGTCTGTACCCTGTGCCTGAGCTCGCGGAGCGTTGATTGGGTCGCGGTGTTTTGCGCAAATTCCCTTTCAAGCTCCGCTCTTGGCTGTGAACCTCCGGGGTGGGTGCCTCATCCCGGTAGCCGGGAGCACCGCTCGCTCGCTCGTGCGAGTGGCTCGGCTCGGCTCAATCGGCAAACTCCTGCGAGGTCGTGCCGCCGCAGTCGCCGTCGTCACGCCTGGTTCGCTTCGACTGCGCGGCGTTCACTTTCTGTCTTCAAGCACGCGACGATGCGTTGAAATTCATTCGTTCTTTTTTTTGCGATGAAGAGGAGCCTGGAAGGACATGGTTACTGTCAGTCGCATTTTTTGGGTGATCGGGCGGTTACCTTGGTGGCCCCTAGTTGTGGAATCCCCGACCATTGGACATCAGCCTTACGGACAAAACAGCTTTCTTCTAATTATCCCTTTGCCTCTCTGGCTCTCACTCTGCCATCCCACTTTATTATCTGCGTCATTTCTTTTCATTCTCACTCACGGTGCCTTGAGACATTACCGTGACAGGTACTTCATTAGCGCTAATTATTATTCGTATTTGTAATAATCGGAGGCCTTTCTGTGCAGTGCTCCGGACACGGCGTCCCATCGCGAGCTCCTCCAGCATGTTCCATCTCGTCCTCTGCGTATTGTAAATGTTACCGTTAATCAAAATGTTAACATCAGTCGAAACCATGGGGGTCTTATGGGAGGCGAAACGTCAACCGAAAAAAACGTTAACTAATGTCACTGTTAACCGAGGGACTTGTGTATTTTCAAACAAGAAAGGGAGGGATACTGGTGTGTGTATGTATATATATTTGCTACCCTGAGCCTTTGATGGAGACGCAACAATCCCACGGGAGTGGGTGAGGTTATCCGGGGGATAACCGCTGTTGACTACCCACGCAAATTTGTGCTCGTTTTACCGGCCATGGCAAGGATGAGGCCTGTCCAGGATTGGAGGGTCACAAACACTTTGGCCAGAGTAGCGCCCGCCTGGGATTTTCCACGGCACAGCTCCGCCACGTTACACCGCACCCTCCTGAGCTGACAACTGGAACCTGTCTTCTGGTCCGTTGATTGGCTCAAGCAGCTCAGGGAAATGTGGGGGTTACAGACTCCCGTGACACACGGGTGGGTAGGCAGATAGACAAACGCAAATCCCCCATAAAAAGCCATACAAGACTGTTGGTGCTAGTGTTGTTTACGAACACCTTTTGAAGGCTGGAACGGGCACACAAAAGGAGGGTGGTCAGCCCCACGCCCAGCCGCCTTTGTCTCCCCAGTGCCCATGTTTTACGCGTCGCGCGTTCCGGCAAACGAACGCGCGAGCGCACGCCCGAGGCAGGGCTGCCCATTACCCCGCACCAGGCCGGATGGGAGATAAAACGAGGTTCCGCATTTTCTCTGCATTTGTTTACTAATGCCCTTCTTGGATCCCGGGGGGGGGGGGGCAGGGATTGTCGCCTTCTAACGGGGAGCGTTAATTTTGGAGCGATTGTTGCAAAAATGGCAGCGCGTGGTCGGGGGGTGCCGGCTATTTTTATCCCAGCGCGGCAGCCGCTAAATAAAGAATGATCTAATATCGTGCCTTTTATTATTAAGGGGTGAATTATTAACACGGGATGGTTGAGCAAAAACACAACACGATATTTATTTAATGTGAGAAAAACAGCTCTGTAGGAGGCGACGCACGTATATCTGCGGCCTGCGTGTAGATGTCAGCCACTCGCACGGCTCTCTGCAGCATCGCCTCCCCCCTCTGTTCCTCTCTCGGTGACATGTCTGACGTCCCTTCGTCTCGTCTCTCTCTCTCTCTCTCATGTGTGGCTTCGGCGTATTCGCCGCGAGTGCGACCCAGGCGCCGTTGGTGGCAAGATGTTAACTCCCTCGCCTCGTGTGGAGGAGGTGGTGGGTTCGATCTCGACCCTGGCATCTGCTGTATATTTGGAGTTTGCGTGTTCTCTCCTGTGGGTCACGTGGATTTTTCTCAGTTTTTTCCCTCCGCGTTTCGAATCGACATCGCGCGTTTAGAGAAATTTGGCTGCTGTACGTTTCCACACGGTGAGCTGCGTCGTTGAGCTGTCGTTTGTGGTGGCCTAGTGGCCAGGTCGCTCCTGAACAACAGCTTTGCAGCTCGGTGGGGCCTCATCTGGTAAAATACAAAATAACATAAAAAATATATATATATGCATAACGCTGGAGGACCGTTTTCATGTACAAATAAAATTGCGGATACTTTAAAAAAAATTTCTCGCAATAAATATTGGTTTAATAATTGTGTATTTAAAAAAAAAAGTGATTGCGTTGGCCAGTTGTGCATAGGCGCAACTAACACAAACTTAACAATAATAATGTTCTAAAAGGGAAAAACAGCTGAGAGGCAATGTAACGGAAAATGGACCATAATAGCACAGTGACCAAAATATGTCTTCTCATAGTAATGATGACTATTTTTCTCACCGATGATGACAAATGTCTTCATGCGCTCGTTCGGAAATTCCTCGTGGCGTTGCGCTCCTGTCGTCTCTGTCGATGTGAGCAAGGAAGTGAGAACGGCAGCCAAGTCGGCAGTTTCACGGCAATCTGTCCAGGTGCCGCCCTGGTCGTAGCCGCTGGCGCTGCTGTCGCCGGCTGCCTGCGACGCTCGTCGGCAAGGGGACCGGGAGAGGGGGGGGGGGGGCGGCAGCGTCCCCAGCCTACGCACCCCCCCCCCCACCTTTGTGCCCTCTTGCGTGGTCCCCGAACCTCGCTATCGATTGTGGCTGAGGGGGTCTCGGAGGCTTAAGTGGAGGCTGGCGGTATTGTGGCGGGGGTGTGGGTGCTCTGGGTATTGGGCGATGGGCAAGCAGGCAGGGGGGGGGGAGGCGTTGTGGCCGGGCCGCGCAGTGGCAGAGGCGAGCGAGACACTTGAGAGCGACCTTTGTGCCCTCCCGTTGCCATGGCTTGATGGGTGACCTTTTCGGGACCCTCGTTTGAGTGTTTGGTGAACGGTAAAACAATGGGTGATCCAGCCGTGGTTGAATATTAGTAAATAAATAAATAATGCAGTACTTGGGGGGGGGCAAGGGGGGGTGTTGGCGAATATAATAGATGGCTGTAGCTGCATTGTAATTGGAGGCAGCTTCCCCCTGTGCTGCTCTCCCCCACCGTCCCCGTAAGAGCGCAGGATTTAGAGGGCCTGACAAAAGCGAGCAGCCCTAGAGGAAGGGAGGAAGGAAGTGGGGACGCGAGTGTTTACAGCGCCGTCGTGCCGGCCCTGCGGTGCG